GAGAGAGAGAGGAGAGAGAGAGAGAGAGGACTAAACAGCGCGTTACGGAGGCAGTTGTTTCACGGTCGTTGTGTTGGTATCGGATAACGTGATCACATCCATTGGCAGGGGGTGGTGTGTAACCGTCTCGAATCATGTGACCGTCTCGGTTGGCAGGGACCCGAGTCACGTGATGCCAGGCCCGGCCCGTGGATGCCTGTCACTCTTCAGTCTCTCCTGGATGACGGGGCTGATGTGGAAGGCCTGCAGGAATAAGCTGCGGCCCGAGGATTTGTGGACACTGAGGGTGAGACGGACGGCCGGCGGCTCGGGGACATCTGGACATTCAGCGTGAGGCGAGGGAGCTACAGCTCGCGACATCCGGGCCTTACGGCTGAGGCAGACTGCGGAGGCCTTTGATCTGACATATCAGTTACGCTAAGGCGAAACTCGGACACTCGGATAGTGGGGCCACTTCAGGATGCTGTACTCAAACATAAAAAGTTGCAAAACAGTGCAATACAGAGCTCAGAGAATCATATAGTGCTTAATAAGCCAAATTTTTAGAACTATTTTTGGTTGTCAATCTTTATCAGGTGAGGGGTTGTCATCCGAAGCCCAGTGATATAATTTTGCCCAATTTATTAACTTTCACCTGCATAAGTCTGCAGTTAGATTGTATTCCGTGTAATCAGGTACGAATCGGCTCAACGCGTTGCTAGAACTTATTCAATAATCTTAAAATAATCGTATGCTTGGGATCCAACCGCATGTAAGGCCGTGGTCGGTACCAGTCCTCTTTTTGCTACGCTTTCGAAAGAATACAATGAAAAATGGACTCCTTGACCTAGTCTGACTCGGCGAAAATCACATTCAAGATTGTTCGGACTGGTCTGTTGTATTTCGTGTCAAAAGAGATTGCTATTGTGCATATTTGTGTGGCTCAAACACGTTTAGTTTTCCAGATGTTGAGAAATAGGGTCTTGGGCCATCCCCGTCGTAGGGCGAAGGTGAAAAATTTCGCAGGGGAATAATTTATGAGCTGCTATCAGTGATGTGAGTTGATGCTTCCCTGGGAAAGTTTATCTCAGTGTCAAGCAATGTTTCCGTGCGTCAGCTCTGCTCTGGGTCCGCAAGAAAATGCCGCTCTCTCTCTCTCTCTCTCTCTCTCTCTCTCTCTCTCTCTCTCTCTCTCTCTCTCTCTCTCTCTCTCTCTCTCTCTCTCTCTCATTCTCTCTGTGATTGGTTGAGTCTTATTGACCCTCTTCTTGCAGGATACCGTATGCATTTCTTATTGGTTGCCCATCTTTAAAAAAACAACTAAATTACTGCTAGAGCTGGATGTTGATGTGGACGCTTTGTTGTGAACTGGCTGTTCCGCTTTATTTAGGTGTGAGCACCTGACCACGCCCCATTGAATGCAGTAATATATTTGTATAGTCCCTTGCTTAGTTTGCTCAGTTGTATTTCCAGCTGTGGGCCCTGTTTGCAGCGAGAGGTGCCGGAGACCCATTGACTCGGGCCTTCAGTCTACTCTGCGCCGTGACTGCCCGACTCAGGGACTCGGACCTCCAGCGCGTCCTGACTGACCGACTCAGTGACTCGGGCCTCTAGTGTGTCGTAACTTTCCGACTCAGTGACTCAGATCTACGGTGCGTCATGATCCCCTGACTCAATGATTCGGGCCTCTAATATGTCGCGACTGCCCGACTCAGTGACTCGGGCCCCACTGTGTTGTAACTGCCCGATTCAGTGACTCGGGCTTCAAGTGTGTTTATGACTGCCCGATTCAGTGACTCGGGCTGTAATGTTTCGTGACCGTCCGTTCAGTGACTCGGCCTCTTATGTGTCGTAACTGCTCTATTCAGTGACTCGGGCCTCTAGTATGTAGTGACCGCCCGGCTCAGTCAATTGGGCCTCCTGTGTGTCGTGACTGCTCTCTTCGTGACTCGGGCCTTTAGTGTGTTGTGACTGCCCGACTCAGTGACTCGGGGCTCTAGTATGTAGTGACTGCCCGATTCAGTGACTCGGGCCTCTAGTGTGCCGCGACCGACTGTGTCGGCCCACATCGATACTTAAACTGCCTTTCTGATAGCCCTGCTCATAACCGCGCGAAATCCCTTCAAACCTTCTTAACGTGATCTTCGCGTCTCCCTCGCTTGTGCTGACAGACAGAAGACTCGTGTCACACCAACTACGTGCGCCTGTTACGCCTTTGGCGGCGCGAGCTGGAACTGAGAGGCGCGCAGAACGCCTCGCTAACGATGACGCTGGTGCGCGCCTTCCGCACGCGCATCGTCATTTCCACCCTGCTGATGCTGATCTCCAACTCCCTGGCACTGCTTGGGCCGGTGAGTACACTCCACCGGCACTGTTGCTAGGCGTGTACTAGTCGATGCGAATGCGCATTCTTGTTATTACTGCGCATATAGTCCATGCTCCAGGTCTGCAGAGTAATGGAAGAATACATCTAGCAACAATACTAAGCAACAGGTGAGGGATATGGGACAGGATGTAAAGCAATAGGATGTAGGCTTGATGTAGGGTGTGGGCTCGCTAGGAACCAGGAGTAAGTGCTCATTGGGTCAACGGCTGCTCGGACCCACGCGTATCCTAGGTCCTGTTTCGAACCGTTATCCATATGACGTCTTGTGAAGAATACCGGTAATCTAATTCCGCTGCTGATTTCGAGGTAAATTCAGGTGACGTTCTGTGATCGCCTGTCGCTCTGGTTTCCGCTTACTTTCTCGTGCTCACCGCTTTGCAACACAAGGTATGCGGCAATGCTGCGCAGTTCCACTGAGGTGATTGCGCACATAATGAGGTCCGGTACAGTGTATGTAATGCGTGCGCTGCACTGGTCAGCTGTCCTCGCGTGCAAATCATACTGCGCGTACTGCGTGCAGCACGCAGACCGCTTCTGTTGGGGTCTGCCATGTGGGTGGTCTTGACCGACCAGCGGTCGTGAGGAACGGCTGACGTCCGCTCCTCGCCGCCGCAGTCGATCCTGTTGCGTCAGATGATCATTTATCTGAACGACCAGTCGGCGCCCGTGTCTCGCGCCGTCGGCCTGCTGGTGGCCATGGTGGTCGCCCGCTTCGCCTCCGTCTACTTTATGGCCGGCGCCTACGGCGTCACCGCCGTCTTCACCGGTGAGTGGCGGGCCCCTCTGCCGGCGGGCGCATTGCAGAAGCCGGCGCAGGGATGAGGCTGTCAACTGTCTTCGTGGCGTTTTTGTAGTGGCATCCCTGACTCGGGCTGCGAGTCCTCGGAATTCTGTTCTTGATAGTTACGTACCTACATTCACAGTGACATAGTTACATTCCTACAGTTACACACCGTACGACACGTAAAAGCGCATGAGTTAACATGCGCCCGGGTGGCCCGTTGGATACCCTTTGCTCGGGCGAGGGTCAATTTGACCCCACTGAGATCTCAAAAACTAAGAGGGCTACTCACCAATTTTTTAAAGAATATTTTATAGAATTTTATATTTTTTTAGGGTCACTAAATTCTCAGGATGAGTTGGCCTTTACGTGACCTCACTTAGGTCATAGTTTGAGCCTCCTAGGTCGTGACCTTCGGGTCGAATAAGGTCAAACAAGGTCAAATTTCATGTTCTTTTCAAAGAGCCCCTGGAGCCTGGCTAACTATTCTAAGTAAAAAATTTTAGGCCCATGTAATGTCATTTACCCCGTTTGACCTTTGGAAGGTCATGGTGACCAAAATCTTACAAGACCGCTGTGAGTTTTGCATTTGCATAAGCGACATAAATTGCGCTAGGCAGTATGCTCATAAAAACAAAATGTTGAGCCGGGTCATTCTAGGTCATTGGCCTATTTTGGCCCTTAAGAAGTCTGTGCAAGGTGTAAAATGCGGTTCCTGTTATCGATGAATTAGAAATAAGCACCAGAAACTACCCCAAACAGCAAACCAGGAGTCATAAAACAGGTAGATTTTTACCTTGGTCTGACCTTCATATCTGACCTTAATTCATTGTAATTTGTTCATTCAGTTGTGTTGCCTAAGAAAGTATCTCAGAAATGCCTGACTTCGTCTTACACTCCGTTGTTGGATCAGACTGAACTGTCCCCTAGCAACTGCCTTCGCTGAAACCATGGGCTGACTTTGACCTGCCATAGGTCAGCGACCTTATAAGGTACACCTAAATTTTAGATGACAGACGATTTGTTATCAAATTGCCTACAGTTATGCCAAATTTGGCGCGGCTACGTTCGGAAACGATTCCGGAAAAATCTTTGGAGGGTCAATGTGACCCCCACCCGAAAATCAACGAGCGATGTATGAGAACAGAAAGGACGGATTTAGGTCTGCATATTTAGATCCTGACCCAGATTTTCGTCTCCTCGGCAAGCTCGACTAGCGCATTTTTATTAAGCTAATGGTGTTCCTAGCGAGTTGTCGCCGCTATGCCTCCTGATTGCCGACAACGAGACGTTGACTGAACCCGCTGTGGCCAGGTGCGCGTGCCACTGGCGCACTCCAGATGCTGGTGTACCAGAAACTGCTCCGCCTCAGCGCGGCCTCCGACCAGATGCTGGGCAAGGTGGTCAACATCTGCATCAATGACATGGACAGGTTGTCGGAGGCGCTGCGCATCGCCGCATTCGTCGTCTGTAAGCGCTGCAGTGCTGGGGCATTGCTGGAGGCAGGCCTTCACCACCCGGTGGGGAACTCCCCCTCCCCCCTCCTTCAGTCTTGTGTGCCGTCTCAGCAGCAGTGGTGACACATAGTAGTTTCTACAGTTTTGTTAACAAGTAATTGTTTTTTGTAGAGGAATTGTTTAACGCTGTGCTTTGCATTTGGTGCTTTGTAAATTGTGAAACCATTGATGGGTGTGGTTCGTCAAATTTGGTCGCCCATATCGTAAGAAACTCTAATTTAGACATGCATTCAGGCAACTGCAGTTTTAGATGCCCAATATGACATCCGAATGTCCCGGTTCGCTACGCATGGGAAAAGTCTTTGACAGGCTTGCGCGACAGGGTACACTGCATCTGGGAAGTCGTCCAACTGGGGGAGTTATTTTGTTGTGTGACATGTTTCGAAGCGAAGGCAAGCTGACTCATGAGGCGCATGCGCAGAGGCTGGACGCTCTTCTTTTACCCGACCAACCGTACACTCGGAAGGCTGCATTCAGAATTTATTTTGATTCTGACCTTGTGCAACACGTTTAAATCATGGAGGGTTGACAAAACCTGTATTTAGCATTAGAGGTCACCAGAATGTTCACACCCTTGTAACCAAATGTTTGTATTCCTGTGCATAGGTCAGCACAGTCTGATTTCATTTTTGCACTTGTCCGAACACTTTAGAATGGCTGGATATCTGAGCTCAGAGCCCGGGGTAGTCAGTGCTTGTTGTATGATCCCTAACCCCTACCATCTGACCGTGCGATTCCAAGTCAACGACAGAATTAGTTGTGGAAAGTTTGGCATGCCGCAGTGCCCTGCGCAGTCCGCCTGCTCTCGAACGTCAACTGACCTATCGCGCGGACGCTGCCCACAGCTGCAGGCCATACCTGACAAGGGGAACCAGCGAGCGCCTAAAGATATTCGAACCCACCCTGCCACGAGTGGGTACATCGGAATGCAAACGCTCTAACAAACTGAGCCATCGGGGGCACCCACTGGCAGATTGTTGGGAAACTGTCTGTAAATATTTATTCACACCATCTGTCACGTCCCCTTTCCAGCGGCCATCTGCATGACGGCGTACGGCTTCGTCGTGAATCTCGTGTACGTGGGGCCGTGGTCTCTGCTGGGCTTCAGCATCATCATCATGTCGTTCTTTGTGCTGGTGAGCATACGTGCCTATACGCTGCCGCCGTCAGGCAGCCCTTTTGGACGAATGTGGCTTGCTACTGTCGGAGTGCAAAGCCTAGGTCCTTATTTCGAATGTTTTTGTTGTTGTTGTGGTAATTGAACTACCAGAAAATGTCAACAATGTTTCGGGGAAGAGGGCCAAAGGAAAATAAAAACCTGAGAATCTAGGACGTTTCTGTTTCGTCGTTGTTCTTACATTTATGAAACGATTTCAAGACAACCAGCGCTGAGCGATAGATAGCGATTTCGTCATTGACATAAGTACTATAGCGCCACTTAAACATGTGTAAAATGCTCGCGAAAAGCACATATATTGTCGCACAGAGACAGCAATTGTGGCAGAAGCCAAACTTCAACAGAACGCTCCAGTTAAAATGACCACATTCATAACGTGGTGAAATGCGTAGCGGTAGGCCGGCCATCCAGATTAAGTGTTCATATATGGCTCGGCAAGGAGGGCCATTTAGCAGTTGGCTTGTTAGCATTAGCCTGGTTACAGGTCAACCAACAGTCGTGTAGCCGCATGGCACGGTCAAGATCCTCTCGTGCTACGTGTAAGGGACTGAGGCACACGGATTTATTGGAGATGCATTAGAATAACGGGGTGGTGGTTGAATAAAGCTAGTGTTAAGCTATGCTCACAACGGAACCAGATTAAAATCTGTTCCGGCAAAATCTTCATTTTCTGTATGTTTTTTTGGAACTAAACTGGAGTCATAATTTGCACTATTGATGCCACGCCAAAATAACACATTGCTACCTAATTATGTGTACTTATGAGATCTTGCAGCCAAGAATCAGCGGCGTCAGTACCATGTTTAATTCCGGGAAGATCGTCTGGGCTTTCCTTTGACAGGCAAAAAAAAGTGAGATCATGAATGGTTTACTTCAATGTCTTAAGTTACGCCTCCATTGAGGATGTAATAGTAAGGCTGTGGCCTCAAGTTATCCACCTCCACTCTCCAGGGCGACGCCGCTGTGAGGAAGGATCCAAGAAGATCACCTTTGCAGAATCGTCAACTCTTTCCTACGTTTTTTTAATATTCCAGTCCGAAATATTCGGGGGGGGGGCAAACCAGCATGGTGGCTAACTCAACATTGGGGGGGGGGGGGGGGCAGGACCTTCACAAAAGAATGCAGTCCGACACTCGTGGCTCAAACCTATACGAGCACGATGATGCCATCAGCATACCACGTAGGAAAATGTTCACATCTGTAAACCTAGAGGAAGGAAAATGTACCCTTTTTGCGAAGAGGCGCCACCAAGAATGGGTGTAATGCGACTTACATTGTGCTCACTTTGCACTGCACTCTTTTGCAGCACGCAATGCTTTTAAACAGAGGTGAGATTCGAGCCCAGAAACTACAACATAGGGCGGGATAGCAGCACGTGTAGACAGTGGTCGCTAAGAGCGGGCCGTCATCTGACGACCGTGATAATGGGCCTCGCCTCAATCAAAGCGCCCCTTTCTTGTGTTTGAGAAATTGGTCAGCTATGCCACCCGTCCATACATACCATATGTCCGTGATGCTTTACTTATAGCGCAGAACAGCATCGTGGTCGATGACATCTTCTACTCACTTAGCCTCGTCTTTTCAATACCTTGAGAGGTCCCCCGGTTTTGTTTCTAGCAAAAAGTTGATCTATACAGGGGCGGATCTAGCCTGGAGTTTTGAGGGGGGGGGGGAGGCAACCGTTCTTCGCCAGCTGGCTGGTGTGGGATGCTAACGCTCAGCGACTATGACTAAGCCGCGTCAACCTGCGTTTTGTTTTGATATTCAAATCGCTGCCAACTTTTCTTCTTGAAGTTTGTTTCCGAAACGGAAAGAAATGTTTGATACCGCACCATCAAAGTTAAAACAGACGGTAAGTAGACGAAACTTTTATGAAGTTTTGAGAATGTTTCGCGGGGTCAAACATGCTATCAGAGTTTTTGGGAGGGGCCACGGCCCCGTGTCCCCCCCCCCCCAGGATTCGCCTATGGGCCTATAACTGTTTTCCGATTTCAAATGAAAACACCATTTCTTCGGATTTGCAAACATGAAATGGTATGCCTGTTTTGACGTTTTCTGAGTGCGCCCATAAATTTCTCACGACGAAACGTCGGCCCATGATGGATAAAACTCGAAATGATCTATTGATATCTACTTGTCTTCCGTTAGAATTTTTACGTGTATAGAACTGTGCAGCTTGCTGAGAGAAAGGAGGTTTTTGCTTGCAGATGGCCCAGACGGTCCCAAATATCTCAAGCAGCCAGGGCGGGGAGAGGTATGTCCCCATCCCCACACGGGATAGTACCATCGGGGAGCCTGTCCGAAATATGGCTAGTTCAAATTTAATCAGAATAAAGCAGAGAATAAAGAAGACACAAATGACCAATCTATAACACGCGCTCCGGTCCAGAGGTCAAACTGACCCCCCAAAGGTTTTTCCAAAATGGTTTCCGAACAGCGCGGCGTAGCCGAGTCCAATTTTCTATAGCTGTACCAAATGCAATAGCGGACCGTTTGATATAAAAATTGGATGTGTCTTATAAGGTCGCTGACCTATGGCAGGTCAAAGTCAGGCCATCGTTTCAGCGAAGGCAATTTCTAAGGAATCGTTCAATCTGATGCAACAACGCAGCCTTTGACGAGACCATAAGTCTTTAGATGCTTTCTTAGGCAACACAAATATTGAGTGAGCAAATAACGCTGACCTAAGGTCAGGTATGAAGGTCAGACCAAGGTCAAAACCAACCTGTTTTAATACTATAGGGCTTGCTGTATGAGATAGTTTCTGGTGCTTATTTTGATTTATTAATAACAGGAACCGCATTATACATCTTCCACTCACTTGTTAGTGGTCAGAATAGGTCATTGACCTAAGATAACCCAGGTCTACATTTTGTTTTTAGGAAGATGCTGCCTAGTTTCTTGTCGCTTATTCAAATGCAAAACTCAAAGCAGTCTTCTATGGTTTTGGCCACCATGACCTTCAAAAGGTAAAACAAGCTCACTGATATTACATGAGCTTATGAACTTGTGCTTACAAACATTTATCTAGGCGTTGGGTGCACTTGGAGACCAGCCTGGAATTTGACCTTGTTTTACCTTATTTGAGCTGAACATCATGACCTAGGAATGTTAAACTTTGACCTAAGTGAGGCCACGTACAGGGCAACATTCTCGGTGAATTTGCTGTATCTAGATTTCTTAGTTCCCGAGATCTCAGGGGATCAAACTGACCCCCCACCCGAGCAAAGGATATCTAGCTGACCACCCGGGCGCGTGTTAGGGCGCAATTTTATTGATTATTGCAGGTTGTCTGTCTATGGTGACCGTGGCTGGTTGGCAGCTCACCTTCAGATCATCTTTTCCAGGGCAGTTTTGGAGGGATGATGAGTGTTCGCCGAGTAGCAGTTGTGACCATCACTGACCGACGGGTTACCTTCATGTCGGAGATCCTAGCCGCTATCAGGCTCATTAAAATGTATGCCTGGGAGGAGAGCTTTAAAAAGAAGGTGAGTGTGCACTGTTCGAAAGTGGTCTGCAGCGTTTGTCACTGTACTGATAGTAGGCTAACCATTTTTCCGCTGCCCGCTAGCGTGCAACGTCTTTGTAGTTCATGATATCATAACATTTTACGAAGCAGAAAATAATATTTCGTTGTCAAAAGTGCAGCAATTCACCATACTTGCTACATAAAAAGCGACCAGATGTGTTTTACGGTATATTGAATGCGACAGCAAAAACAGTGGCTCATAGAAGTCAATAAGTTAGGCGTCATGAGTGCAAGACACATTTGTGTCTGTGATGCCTTTTGAAATGACAGTTAAACGTGTTTCTAATGCGATTCGCTGTGCGTCACAGATCGAGGATATTAGAAAGGAGGAGATGAGTGTCATCAAGGAGGTCACGTTCCTGCAGTCCATGTCTAACTTCTCGGCGCCGATAATCCCAATCCTGGCCACCGCCGTGTCCGTCATCGGCTACATGTAAGACATAATGACCAGGAACAGGGCCGAATGCGGTGAAACCTGTGCGGGCAACCAGGGAATTGGATAAATAACGGACGAACAAAAGGGGATTTGGGAATGTAGAAGGAATGTCGTTGCGTTGTGCTCAATCGCCCAGCTGGACCGTTCATTATTGTTATTAACAATACGCAAGAGCTTTCTTTGTCTTACGGACAATTCGTTTACCACTGTGGTTAAACGTTGACGATACTATCTTTTAATCTTTAAAATGGCAAGCGCAAAAAGCATGTGAGGATATGGTTGTCAGCTGTGTAAAGGCACGCGTTTCTTCTGACGACTTCTGGTACGCGTTTCTTGCATGTGCTCCAGCGCCAGTGGAAACGAGCTGCGGGCTGCCGAGGCGTTCACCATGTTCTCCGTCTTCAACGCCCTGCAGATGGCAGTTGGCACGCTGCCATACGGAATCAAAATGATCACTGAGACACATGTGTGCCTGAGACGAATCCAGGTACATGAATTTTTGAGCAAGCTATTAACTTCGCAGCTGCATTTAAGATAAGGGTGTCGGCAAACCTAACATCGCAACGAAAACAAAGAGCCCTTTTTGCAGACCAAAATTATCCAACGCATGTCTGACGACTTTTTCAAGGATCGTCATCAATCTCGCAAAATGAATAGCTCAGATGCTCCCAGAAAATGGGTTATCTTTCCATGAATGTAACTACATCTCTGAAAGTGGGAGATAAATCGGAATTTTGGGTCAAACATGAGTGAGGGATAATCTATATATTTTTTACTGTAGACCACAGCAAATTCCGCGTTTGTGACCGTTTTAGTGGAGTGATCAATGTCTCGTATGGTGCGTTTGTCGTGTTAGGTGTGCCGATACAGAATGTTACCAGAGCTCATCTATTTTTTCAGCGTTCCAATCAGTCCTGCGATCATTTTCGAGATAATTATTATGCTTTAAACATGCAATCACAAGCGTAGCACACATACAAATTTCGGTATAATGTTTTTTGTACAAAATGCATGCTTGTGGCATTTCAAATAAAAACATTTGCATGCTGCATGCTCTACTTCCAGACACACCTCTGTATGGTTCGCAGCTTTACATTTCATCATGTCGGGTTAAAAGACTACTGGTCTTCTAGGATTGCATAACGGGACGGGGGAGGGGTTTTCTATCAGTCGCATGTTGTGGAGTGGCAAGTACGTAAGATGTTTTATATGTTGATGATGATTGCCTTGCCCCTGATGTATGATGCTTCAAGTATGGTAAGGCGTCCATGGCCTGTGGTATGAGCAAGCATGATAGTGTCCATGGCTAAGACATTCCTGTTGAATGGGTGTAGTGAATGCGCATGTGTTTCGGTGCCCCTCCGCAAGTACAAGGCGCCGTTAGGGTCGGTTTTGCACCGCTTCTAACCATCTCGCGTTGATTCGCATCTTATTTGTGATTAACTTCAGCTCAAAGTTGTAGTCAGACCGATGTAGTTTTCTTTGCGGGTTTCACAGTCCCGAACAGCACACTGGAGCACCCTAAATGGACTCAAGGAAAGCGGCAAAGGCGCCATACGAAGTCTTGAACAAGCTACAAAGAAAGCCGTAAACACGAAATTTGCTGGAACGTGCAACCAGCAATGCATGAAAGAAAACCTGATCGCGGCAAGGGCCAGGGGGTCATATATATATATATATATATATATATATATTAATGTAACCTATATGAAGCATACATGAATATAGTATATTATATAAATATATGTATGATATATATATATATATATATATATATATATATATGTACATGGCCCATCCACATCCTACGGCTATTTCTACCTTTAGCATTTTTCTCAGGCCTCTCTATGTTTCGCCTGTAGACAGATTGAAGTGAAAATGGCGTTTTAAATGGGGCATCGTGGCAAACGTACATTCCACGAAAAAAAACTACAGTGCTCAAAATTCAAGTTAAAAAAATGGTGGTGGCATGTCTCGAGTAGTTTCATGTGTCTGCTTAGGAAGCACAAGGTGTCGCTGTCGATGATGATTGGGACCTTGCCTGCAGCGCCTGCTCTTGATGAAGGACATCGAGGTGAACCTGACTCACTGCGACTCGGGCAGTGCCATTGAAATCGTCAACGCCACATTTGCTTGGGAGAGACCCGTCAGCAAGAAGGGCAAGAGCGAAAAAAGTGAGCCTGTCTTATGGTCCCGAATTTAGCCCCTGATAAGCATTGATTTTGTGGACAAGTCTTCACATTTGCATCTATGTCAAGGGTTCACCGAACAGCTTAACTCGCTTTCCAGGAGGTGTCCGTATTTTTTTATTTCATTTTAATTTCATTTTCATTTTCAAGAGGTGTCTGTAATTCTGCCAGATGTTCTCCCCATCCCCACCCTCCATACCTTCCTGGAAGTTCAGATATTTGTCAGAGACGCATTTATATGGGATCAAAGAATTTCTATTCAAGTCACCTGCCTTCTGAGCACTCACGAATCCATGCATTTTATCTCGGTTTAGACAAGAGACCTTGAAAGAGAGATGATTTGCGACAGTGATGTACATGATCGTGGGAGTTGACCTGTGTAACTATGAGGGATATCCCCTCCCGTCCCGCACGCCAATTTGTTTTTGAGCCGATAAGGCCATATCACGTGCTCCCTTTCGGAGGGGCAATTCGATCCCGGAATAGGTTTTCCAGAACAATATCCGGCCGGTTTTTCGCTTGGATATAGGAGACTAAGCATCGCAGAGCTGCAGACAATTCAATAGCGAACCTTTTATCATAGAAAATAATAAGTACCTTGCAAGGCTGTTAACCTATGGCAGGTCAAAGCCAGGCTATGTCCTTTAGCGAATAAAATTCCTGGCGAATCACTCAATCTAATGTGACAACGGAGTGTTAGACGAAGCCGTACGTCTCTTAAATTGTTTCTTAGACACTTAGCCGATCGGATTTGGGATTATCGCTAACTCCATTTGCCTTGGGGCAGGCATGAAGGTCACACCCAGATCAAGTGATTTGGCGCAAGTCAATTCACGTAGAGGCATGCCCACCCGTGAATTTGATGTCTCTAGCTGTGCTAGTTTTTAGGATCTCCGGGGGTCATATCGACCCCTAGCTAAGCGCGTCGCATTTAAGTGGTGAACCGCGCGAGTGTTTATGTTGGTTTGGTTTCTACAAGCTGATAAAATGTCACACAACTTGATTGAAGTAGATATTACCCACTGATCTGGTCATGGTTTGCTGGTGGTGACTTGTAAGCTCCTCAGGTAAAGGACGATCTAGTCAAAGACACATAATTAAAAATGAAATTGCTTAGCATGCAAAATGAAGAGGCCCGATTATCTGAGAAAGACATTTGAGGGAGATTAGTTTGGCTCCAATGGTCCCCACTCCGTGACAAAAGCCTGAGCTTGCTTCCCAATCATTTACCAAAATTACTGACCGTGAGTATTACCATAGTCTTGTCCAATTGGAGAGGTTCGTTTTCGTAAATTTTGAAAGGCACTTTGAACATCTTAACGCACTCTTGGGTAGGGGTCAATTCACCCCCGCCCTCCAGGTTTGAGTGGCGGATTGTTTAATGTAAACAAATTTGGTCTTACCTTGTAAGGTCGCTGGCCTACGGCAAGCGAAAGTCAAGCTATGGATTCAGCAAAGAATGCTTCTAGGGAATCTTTCAATCTTATGCAACAACGTAGCGTTAGATGTGGGCATACACCGTTGAGATCCATACTTAGGCAACACAACATCTGAATGAACAAACTCCATCGATCTAGTCAGATATGAAGGCCAGACCAAGCTGAAAGCCAACCTGTTGTTTCAATATAGAGCTTGCTGCATAGGGTAGCTGCTGGTGCTTATTTCAAATTTATTGATAAGGGAAACCGTATTATGCATATCCTATGGACTTCTTAAATGCCAGAATAGGTCATTCACCTAAACTGGCCCAGGTCAACATTTTGTTTTGAGGAGCATACCATATAGCGTAATCTTTGACGCTTATTAAAATGCAAAACCAAAAGCGGTCTATAATTTTGGAAACGATGACCTTTGAAAGGCCAAACAAGGTCACTGACCCTCAATGAGCACCGGTGACCTTTTGCTTAAGACTGGTATCTAGGTTCTGGTGACACTTTGGATACAAATCTTGCGTTCGACCTTATTTTATCCAATTTGACCCGAAAGTCATGACTTAGGAATCTCCAATTTTAACACAAGTGAGTTCATACGCAGGCCAATACACCGAGTGAATCTTGTGTATCTAGCTCCCTTAGTTTCTGAGATCCCAGCGGGGTCAAATTGACCCTCTACCCAAGCAAAGGATATTCAGCCGGCTATCCGGGTGCGTGTTAAGGTATTCAGAAGCATGCAAAATTGTGCTATGTCAATGCCAGATGCATCATTGCGTTGGTGTCCTCCTTTAAACAAATGCTCACAGCTGAATTGAACGCGTGAAGTGTGAAGCTAATATCCAGCTTGAAAGTACGCATAGTCTATGTCCAACTTCCTGGCAAAGCCTATTCTTATTTTTAAGGGTTCCACCAACGCTCTGGGCATCGGGAATGACATCAACAAATCCATCTTCATACCCACTGTCGGTGCTAAAATGCTTACAATCATGCACTGGGATGTGTCTTTTGCTAAAACAAAACATTTTTCTGGAAGTATCGGAAGCGTACCGACTGAAGTTTTGTAGAATATGACAAAACATACACTAGTGCATGTATAGGAGTACAACCAACAGCGTTGCACCCTCAATGCAAAGCTGAGAAAAGTCACCAAATATCAAGATTATGGTGTATTTAGAACACGAAAGCTGCGCAAAAACCTTTATGTAGTCACAGATGCTGTACTTTTATAATCGCTACGTTATGCATACTGTATGATGTACGCGTCAGAAGATCCCACCAAATGCATCTGTCGACCCTAACATGGACGTTAATCGCCAAACTTCTCGCACTCCGGTGTGTATTCACCCGTCGCCATGCACCCGCGCCGCGGCTGTCTCAGAGCGTGAGGAGCGGTCTCGCTCCGCCAAGTCGCTGCCACGGCTGATCTCGTCGCCGCGGCTGCCGACCGCGCCTCAGGCGCCGCTGCTGAGCCGGCTGCGCGCCTTCAGCGAGCGGCGCCGCCGGCCAGCTAGCGCCGAGCTCAGCCTCGACGCCGACGCGGCCACGCAGACGGACGTGGTGCTGACCGGCGTCAACCTGAGCGTGCCGGCCGGCCGCCTGCTGGGGGTGGCCGGCTCGGTCGGCAGCGGCAAAACTTCACTGCTGGTCGCCATGACTGGCCAGGTGGGCGCAGCGGCGGCGGGAGGGAGGGGGGGGGGGGGGGGGGGTGGGGCTGGAAGGCATCTCGTCGCGACGTGCCTACAAACCACTTGCGAGAAAAATGTGCGAGAAAAATGTGCTGTGTGAGAAAAATGTACTCGCTTATGGTTACCTATCAATAAGTAAGCGAAGTTTGCTTGATGCATTCCCTCTTCCTCATGCTGCTTGCAGTCGTGGGAATGTTGCGGCTGTTGCAGTTGTTGTGTGGCGGCAAACAGTGGCCGGTCACTGGCTACTACATGCCCACCTCCCTAAATGTATTGAACAGGGTCTTCTCTGCTCGACTGCGATGCACCATACGCTACGACCTGTTGCCAGCTAGTCAGGAAATTCTGTCATCAACGCGCTAAACCAAAAATTTCTAAGATATACTGACATCCCTGGAAAGCAGGCTATTAAACTAAGCCAAATGGTATACCAGACATTGCAGCAATGACTTTTTGGTTTCATCGCCGTACTGTTGTCGCTAAGGTGGTTTAAAACTTGCACTGAAAATGCAATTGTGTGTGTGTAGCAATGCATCGTCTTATTCGCCAGCTCCCAATATGGAAAGGCGACCTCCATCTTTCTGATGGCCTCAAACAGGTAGTCACGGTTGTCGCGCGATGGTATATTCGTCCGTGATTAGTAAATCATTAGAAAATTTCAGTTCGCCTGCATATCACATGGGTCTGACCTCGTCTAAGGTTTGCTGAAAGACTGGACTACCGCTGGTGTTTTTTTTTGTGTACGAATGGAAGCTGTAGTGTTCTGCAGGCGTTGGTAAAAGTGGTTGGTCGAGTAAAACTGGCGAATAAGCTGCCGTCTCGGATACGTCGACGTTTTAGACATACAAGGTTGATATTAACATGGTTCGCAAAATGCTATGACACATTTGGGGTAACGACTAGCCCCAACTATCAAACAAGAGTCAGAGATCTGCCACGCGACCCGCTGACGACCGTGCCGTGGCCACAGCTCCGGGTACTGTGCGGCGACGTGCGACGGGCCGGCACCATGGCCGTGGTGCCGCAGCGCGCCTGGATCTTCAGCGGCACACTGCGCGACAACATTCTGTTTGGCCGGCCGATGCTGCCCGATCTGTACCAGCGCACGCTGACCGTCTGCGCGCTGAGGCCAGACCTGGCACTCATGGAGCACGGCGACCTGTCCGAGATCGGAGATCGCGGCGTCAACCTCAGGTGAGTCGGCTGCGGCTGAGGTCAGTGGCAGGTCAGGGGCCAGAGTCCGGCCTGAGTCGGGTCTGTTTGTCAACCGCCGGTCGGACAACCGCCAGGCAATTCTACGCAAAGTCCGTGTCAATCAATCTCAGGACAGGAGAGCTTCAGTTTGTCGGGTCAGCCTTCGGTGACGTCTGGTCAACTTTACCTCATGGTGTCAGCCTTGTGTGAGGTTTGGTCAACCTAACGTAAGGTGGCGTCAACTTCGCGTAAGGCGTAGTGACAATCTAAGAACGTTGAGTGTCAGCCTAGTGCGTTGATCCCACCGGTTGGACGTCAACCTCTGGCAAGTGAACCTGATGTGATTATCAGATAACCTTCAAGTCAAGATAATCTCATGTCAACATAATTCACGTTGGCGTCGTTCTCAACGCTAGCAAACTTTGGGTCTGGTATGTTGCTGTTCGCGGATCAGGTTATCCTATGGCACACCAAGATGGGACAGGTAGTACATGCAGTATACCAAGTCTCAATCTACCACAGGTCACCCCCATGATAATGTCGTGTTAAGCAGTCGTCAAGATCTGGTAGCCATTCCGATATCAAACTAAGGTCAAGCGAGACGTCCTCCTTGGGCCACGCGGAACGCAGCCAGGCACAACGCTTGGGCTGACGTTGACCCACCGCAGAATGGAAGAGTTCCTGTCGTTATCTTTTTGCCGCCCTGCTCCTACCATTTATTGACGTGCTGTTAGTGCTTCAACCTGCGTTCAGCCTTCTCGTGTGCGCGCTGTTTTGACCCAGCAAGCATTCGTCTGCATTCGACATGCTTACCGGAGCTGGCACCGAGGGTATCTGTGCAAGAATGTTCCAGTGTACGAATAAGATCACACCTTATTGATTGGTCATTCATCATCGAGCGCACGATCGTTGTGACAGGAAGTCAGGATGTGGCCAATGCGAGGCTTTTTACTTTCCCTTCCTTTGCTGTCTGAAGAATTTAGCAGGCCGAACATCAGACCCCTGCTGGAGGCCAGTCCGCAGTAGGCAGTGAACCACGGCGTCTGGGTCGTCCCGCATCACTACCAGCGTTAGAGTATGGTCAACGAGGACCGAATCAGCTGTCTGGTAGAGTTAGGAGTAACAGATGGTGCGCTCAGTGTCCTCAAGCACCCCACACTCCGGGCACAAGCCGTCGTCCCCCAGGCAGTTCCAGCGATGCGGCGTAGGACGGACCGGCAGGCATGGAGAGGTGCGGCGCTGATACAGTATCACTCGTTCGCGTCGGGACCAATCTTCCTCCTACTTCAGGCTTTCGAAATTAGACACTCTCCTGTGGACATATTCGTGGAGTAGGTGCCCAGGTATTTCTTCAGGCATGCACTTCGGAGACCCGCTTTAGCCGACTGGAGGTGGATGCCCAGTTTTCTTGGGTTAGCCGGCAGCCGTCATGGCCGCTTTTCCCGCCTTCTCGTTGCCTTCCGAGTTCTGCATGGCCGGAGCCCAGACGACTTGGACGTTTTTGTGATGCAAACTCAGGCTGGCCAGGGATGACCATGCCTTCGAGATAGTTTCCCAGCCTCTGCTCCTGCAACCCTTCTGAGGCGGGCTACGAGAGAGAAGGAGTCCATGGAAAATCCAGCGGTATTAATTTCTTCTGGGGGAGGGGAGGGGGGGGGGGGGGTGGGTGGGGTGGAGGAGCCGTGGGCGATGTAGATGCTGTCTGTCGCAGGCACAGATACAACCGCATTCTCAACAGCCGCTATTCTGATTTCTGGGTAGTCGACCCGCTCCGTGTTGCCCATGGTCGACGTGCCGAACACGATGGTGCCCTTCCGGTGCACAGTCATGTGGAAGGAGAGGGGGGAGGGGGGCGTGGGTAGTGATGTTGCTTCTCGTGTTAGGCCTTCCACTCCGCCACTTGGTGGTTGGCCTGCCCCTGCCAAGTTTCCGTGCGCCGAGGGTAAAGTTAGTTGTTTTTCTGCCGTGTATAGCGAGGCATACATCCGGGGAAGGCACAAGAGCTATCCCTATCTCTCTCTCTCTCTCGATTACGAGAGAGACCGAGCCTACTAGCTAGCCAAGCTCTAGAGTATCGAGCGAGGCTACAACGCTCTGCTATCATCGATCGTGCCCTCCTGAGGACTCACCGAAAGAGATGTACCTCGATCGCCTCAGATTCTCTCACTCTCTCTCTACTCTCATCCTCTCTCTCCTCTCTCTCTCTCCTCTCTCTCTCTCCTCTCTCTCTCTCTCTCTCTCTCTCTCTCTCTCTGGTGTTACTCCCTGCTATTCGTTACATTGTCACATATGGAAACTTGTACCTCCAAGGCCCGTCCGCGCCTCAGATTTGCTGCCACGACCATAATTACAACCACAGTCCAGCATCCTAGTAGAGGCCTGGAGGTCAGCCTGACGTGACTGCGCGGCCTGAAGGCCAGCCTGACGGACGTGTGCGGCCCTGAAGGCCAGCCTGACTTGACCCGCGCGGCCCTGGAGGCCAGCCTGATGTGACTTGGCGCGCCGCCCGGCAGTGGCGGTCAGAAGCAGCGAGTGAACCTGGCGCGCGCCGTGTACGCCGACGCCGACATCTACCTGATGGACGACCCGCTCAGTGCCGTCGACAGCTCCGTCGGGCCAGCACATTTTCCACCAGTGCGTTCGCGGAGCGCTCCGCGACAAGACCGTCGTGCTCGTGTCACATGGGGTGCAGGTGAGACCCGGACGGGATGATGTCCCGCGGGGTGCAGGTGAGGGAGCGAGGCGCAGAGAGCGTGCGGGATGACGTCACACAGGGTCCATGTGGGACGATATGGTAGGGGATGCAGGCGGGATGGTGCGCACGCGGTGCATGTGGGGAGGGGGGGGGAGGGGCGGGGTCGCACCTGCTGCATGTTAGGTCGTTGGTGGATGTGCGTCGCTAAAAGTGCGGGCGTGGGAGAAGTGAAGAGTGCCGGAGAATGTGTCCCATGAAAAGTAACTGGATCGTTTTACAACTGGTTCAGGTGAAGCCTGTGCGGATGTGAGTGGGTAGAGTAAGCGGTTGCAGTGAGCAGACTGAAACTCTCTCTTTAGCTCCATTAGGACCTCGCCATTTCGTTAAAAATGCGCCATTTCATCCCACTGTTGTTACACAGTTTCTCTAATTCTGCCTTTCTTAGACCATCCCCACGCCTGCTACACCACGCAGCCTTTATTTGCAGACGACGTCAAAAATTTAGCGTGAATGGGTCTGTGTTCAAAGCATTTCACTGTTATTTTTAGTCAAGCTAATTCAAGTTATTTCAGATTAAACCCCCTTGTAAATGTGGGATACTCCCCTTAAACGCTGCATTTGAAAACAAATCACGATTTAAAACATTGTAGTCCGATCGGCGAACTTTGTAGGCTGATGGCACGTGGCGGTAAATCAAATAATGGCTCGCAACAGCGATGACAACAGGTGTGCCGTAATTCACGAAATCGCAGCTTATGGTGCGAAAATGCTCAAAATAGATAAAAACGAGATAAACAATACAAAGGTAGTTGCAATGCTAAAACTGAGCACAGGAAACCAAAATCTCACATCGCTGCGCCTTCAACATTTACTGGGTTGCGTAACGCCCCTTAGGCATCCTGTGGTTACATCACTGGAGGTAGGATTACCGGACTGGAGACCGAGTCGCAATTTAAAGTTCTGCAGAGCGGGTTTCAAACGTTTGTGGTGCTGCAGATAAGGCCCCCGCATCCATGGTATGATATCAAAATGTCGATCTTTTAACTAAGTATAGCCTTAGTCCACTTCTTGCAGAAAAATCACCTCGTCATGTGATTATATGAACCATCACCACTTTCGCGCTCAACAGTACAATCGTGCCGGAGGCCTATGGCGTGGTACACCAGTCGTTTTGCACGTACACAGGCTTATGAGCGGGAAAGCTTGGTCATGAAACGTTGTCAGCGTGTCGTATTTAAATGGATTTGGCACACGGCCGCTTCTGGAGGATACAGCCTACTCCAGCTATGTTCACCGACCTAAGCGGAACATTTTGCAGCACGTGGAACATTTAGCGTAACGGGGGAGCGTGTTCATCGCCATGTAACTGTTCACCATATGTCATGTTAGCATGATCAACACTTCTGGCATCATTGTCAAACAGTGATGGGGTCCAGACAGCGTCCTGACCCCGATGGGGCGTGTGCATCTGCGGGATTGCGTCCCCTCACATTGGTCCCTGCCGTGTCTTGTTCCAGTACCTGTCGCGGTTGTGACGAGGTGCTGTTCATGAAGGACGGCCGGCTAGCGGAGCGGGGCTCGCACCAGCAGCTGATGGAGCTGGAGGGCGACTACTGCCAGCTGGTCAGCTGCGACGCCGCCAGTCAGCAGCAGCAGAAAGCCGGCCGAACAGGCCCAGGAACCAGCAGGCGCCGATGGTATGCACTGCGATGTCAACATGCGACGTGGTGTGCATGTCAACGGTGGTAAACACACCGTGAACAGTGCGCCGCCGGAGGGTGTAGACTTTTCGGAAGCGATGACGACGGGGTCAGAGCATGGTCAGAGCATGGTCAGAGTACGGTCCGTGGCGGGCATCGTATCAGGAGGTGCGAAGCGTGCTGGGATATTAATAGCGGATGAAGGCTACGTCACGGAAAATAGCAGAATACACGCGGCTTGCGGGGAAGGTGTCGGCAAAGGCCGCTGGCTGAGACTAGGCTGGTGGTAACGGAGGCTGGGGCACTTGATGAATGCGTCGGCGAAGGAGAGCTATGACGAAGAGTCATCAGGGTGCTGACCATGGCCGGCCGTATTAACGGTAGTTTATCGGCTATCTGTCGGCAGGTGCTATTGTGAGAATGGTGGTACCCTGGTCTTCTATTTTATTTTCAGAAACAGGAACAGCAGGCGGGAAGTTCACATCAGATGAAACGTTCGGCTCTACCATCGGTCTATTTAAGAATTTCGCCGCCTATTATCAGGTATTACTGCGGTTGGAATCTGCAGGTAAAACTTTGTATCTCGTTTTCGGTGTCTTCTTCCCAACAATTTGTCTTTACCCTGCCCACGTTGAACCCTGATCATCAGAAATACTACCCAAACATCTTTTTTAAAAGCAAATTCTTACTATCCTTGTAAGGTGTGTATTTTACGTCAGCTGTTCAGTGCATTTGCAAGGAACATTATTCACACAGATAAGGCAGTAGCAATAGCCCTATTCCTCGCAGAAAAAAATAAGGAGAATAGTGATATAGATTGGTTAATATTTCGGCAACGTGCCTTTTTCAAAACAATAGCAGAAGTCTATTCACACAATGGTTTTACTGGTCTTTAACGAGGTCAACAACCCATATATATCTTCATTATCCCGGCTTTTCTCCGAGGAATAAGAATATTACTTCTGTCCTATCTGAGTTTTTCTAGTTTCAAAACCTAGTTTGTGTGCACTTCGATCCTGTTTGTACTACTTTGATAAAGTTTCATGGTGTTGTATAGCTGTATATCCCAGGATTGATGTGTTCCAAAGATAAGGTGATTGTTGCCTTTGCCTGATAAATAGTATTTGGGCGTATTTCAATCCAGTATGTCCATTTTATTACCGTGATATGCGCGGCGTGTCATTTGTGGTCTGCTGCGCATTGACCGACGCATTTAAGACCGGTGCCCCATCGACGCCCGATTTTTGGCATCGCGGCTTGCGCGACATACTGCCTGCGCCTTTGCAGTATGCGTGCCCGGTGCTTTGTCTGAGCATTAGATGGACCAATGTCATGCGGGTCTTTGCCTGTTTCATCGCTGGGCTTATTGGGCGTTGTGCTTTGCGTCACGATGGTCTCGTCCTAACACAGAGTGCCTGATTTACCGTTAGCTGGACCTGTCTTTGTGCCTGACTTAACGTCCTGGCGCCCGGCGACCGCTCCTCGCCTTTTTCAGCTTTTAGCTGGACCTATTTCAGTGCTGACTACGTCCGTTCAGTACTGCGGCGTGTGTGGCATGCTGCTGGTGACGTTTCTTACGGTGCTGTTCGCCTGCTGCCGCACCGGCAGCGGCCTCTATCTGCAGTACTGGATCGACGCCGGCGACGGACGCAAGGTAGAGTCCCTACTCGCACACAATGTATGCACACACAAGTCGGCAAAAACAAGAAACAAAAAAAACAATGAGCTCAAGACAGACGACATAGACACTCCGGTACAAACACAAATTACATCCGGTGTTTCACATAGAACAGCTTAAAGTGGGAAAACATCCTTTTAAAGGGGATTCCATACGTGCACAAATGTTCGTTCAATGTTGAGGGCTTTTTCCAAAATAACACCAGAGCAGAGCAGCGTAGGGACTCTAGGCTTTTCATAGTGGTAGGCCATGCATATCTGACCGTGTGTAGTGCAACCAACTTAAATGTATTTAAAGGTCGCTGCCCAAGTCAGATAAGGCAGCTATAAGGCCACTAACTGAAAAGCAGACAAGGCAGCTATCCAGCTCACATGACAAGGAAGTTTTTGACGAAAGCATGAAACTCGGATGGCTTTCCGGAAAACCGTTCAGTTTAGATGATAATTACGACTAATTTTATTGGCCTGAAGTCCGTTGTGAAGGTCAAATTGACGGCATAAATAACCACATTTTGAGCAAAAAATTGTTGCAAGGTAGTTTCCTTGTTTTTAAAGTGTTCTTTGTTTGTGAGTTCGTTGGTCCAGAACATTTCGAATTATTAATCACTAGAATGTGAACATACTTTTTAAATTTGGGATCAGTTGAGTTGATAGTTTAAAGTGATAATATTGGCCTTAAGTCAGTTATGAAGGTCAGCTTGACGGTATAAATGGAAAACATTTTGAGTGGGAAAAGTTGTTTGTTGGGTAGTTTGTAAGATATTTTCTTTGTTTATAAAATAGTTTGTTACGCACATTTCGAATTATTTGGCGAAGAGGCATCAACAAATTTATGATAATGACTTGCTGAAATCCAGTGTAGGGCATTGACCCATAGCAACCTTACCGAACCTTTTCTTCTAAAAACCTGCCGTCTAAAGCAATTATTGGCACTGCTATTACTTCAAATAACAGCACGAGATCAAAGTATTTGTTTCACGTTGGCCTTTTCAGGATCAGAAGAGGCCACTGGCCTGACATATTTCTGAGCAATCTTGATATAAGAACTTAAGGTCTTGCAAATCTGGTGTCCTTAAAAGGAATACTTTTCAGTACTTCAAACATTTAAAGTTCCCCACTACCCGAACGCATCATTCAACCTGGAAACATGTGTCCAAACCCGCTGCCGAACTATCGAATACATTCGAAACATCCATATAATGCATATAGGCCCCACAGTGTCGGTACTGTCTGGGACACCCTCACAATGGATCGAGACCCCGCAGTGTCTTCCGGTAGTCAGGGACGCCCTTACAGTGCATCCAAGCCCTGCAGTGGGTTCCGGTACAGTCAGGGCACCCTTACAATGCATTCAGGCCCCACAGTGTGTCCGGGTACAGTCAGGGACGCCCTTACAATGCATCGAGATCCTGCAGTGTCTCCCGGTACAGTCAGGGTCCGCCCTTACAATGCGTTCAGGCCCTGTAGTGTGTCCCGGCACGGTCAGGGTCGCCCTTACAATGCCGAGATCCGCAGTGTCTCTCCGGTACAGTCGGGTCGCCCACCTCCATCCGTCTGTTCCCAGGAAGAACGTCTTCGTAACGTGACGCTGTACAACATGACCTTCACCAAGGACGAGCTGACAGGAGCGATCAACGACAGCGCCAACGTAGACCTCTACACGGTCGGATACGCCGGCACCGTCCTGGCCCTCTTCGTGTGTGGACTTGTGAAAGGTCAGCGCACGTGAACTGAGGCCTAGTGTCAGAGAACTCGCTATATATCTCAGCACCCGGTATAGCAGCTGCCTTCGTATTGGAGTTACGTATGCATCTGGCTAGACCATACCGCCAGCCAAGTGTTCCACACATAGTTGGCCGGTTACTGCGGCGAACTTGAACGGAAAAATATGAGTGTGTGCAACGCACCCCACCGAACGCCCGTCGAAATAT